TACAAAAAATTATTCTTGAATGAAATATTTTAATATTACAAATAACAAATAGTTTAATACAAACTACAAATAATTTAATGGAAATAAGTAATTATTAGTGATTGAGAAAAATAAAAAAAAAAAATGTATAAACAAAATATAAAAATAAAAGAGTAAAAGAAAAATATTATTACGTTAATAGAAATGTGTTAAAATGTGTATTAATTAATTATATGTATCATATAACATAATTAAATAACATTGAATTAAATTATTTAATTTCTTAACTCGTTTTAAAATATTTATAATATTGAATCTTAATCTTAATTTTAATAAAATTAATGTGTATTAATTAATTATATGTATCATATAACATAATTAAATAACATTGAATTAAATTATTTAATTCTTTAACCCGTTTTAAAATATTTATAATATTGAATCTTAATCTTAATTTAAATATAATTAATGTGTTTAATTATATTTATTTAATAAAATAATTAATATAATTTTTTATTAAATTATTTAATTTTTTGGAATATAACAAATATTTAATCTTCAAACACCTGAATTATTAAAGAATTTTGAAATATTTATTAGTCTTATACTTTTTTTCATTAATTATATTTTCTCATATATATATATAATACATTTTAATATATATATTTATTTCTTTTTATTTATTAAAAATAGTTGAAAATAAATTAATTATACTAAACATTACTTTAATTATGTAAATTTGTAGTACGAATTTTTCCAATTATATAAGGTAGGTATTTCATATCATACATATTTTTTTGCGTACACCATTTCGCATTGCGTCCCACTGTGCCGTGCGATCCTTGGCTCTTTCGTCGTGGTTGGAGTCAACATTTAACCCGTCTGTCGCTCGCATAATGTCACAGAATGTTCAAACTAAACATTAATTTTTGATAAAATGGCTTTCGACTCCCACGAAATAGTCTCGATGTCTGGTTATTTTGATATTTAGAGGCGAAGTAAAGCGATATTGGAAAAAGGTCACAAATTTCACATTTGCACTTGGCCCCTGTCGCCAATGTCTTGTAGATAAATGTACTTGATTAAGCGGACAGAGGGTGGGTGGGCCTATGCTGGGCTCCTCCCTGTTCGCCCTGTTCTATTGAATCAAATTTGGCTGTATTATGGTTTTATTAATGCAATTTTTAGACTGCTTTCATGGCATTTTGGGCATTTGGACATTTGGGCATTTAGCCAGGCTACGCAGAGCCGAGGTTTTTGGCCTCGAGCTGTGGTCGCTCTTGTGGGCAGGTGGCTAACAAAAATTCATTTATTTTCATTTATTGTTTCACATTTCCCACAGGACAGCGGCAGTTGCAATTACCGCACTGCTCTGGAAAACTGGAAGCACAACGGCAAAGAGCACAAGAAATACACCCAAAATCAAATGGGAAAAAATTTGTCCGCGATGCGTCGCACTGAGAAAAGTTTCGCCTTTTTTGTTTCTTTCCTCATACTCGTTGCTGAACTAAAAGGGGGTATATTGGTTTTTGAGGCAATGTCTGTAACTACACATTGAATTATTTGTTGAAGTTCAGGTTATGGAATTTTAGTATAAGAGAAAAATATATTTATTTTTAGGAATTTCAGGAATTTCTTATAAAATAATATTTTATACATTTGGTACTTTATATATGCTCAAACTCTGGTTGCTAATATCTGTTATATTTAAGCTGGAGAATTAAAATTGGATATACAAATGTTGCACATGTATATGTACTTTGGTTTGGAAAATCCATCTGAAAACAATTAACCTCTGTATCCTCTGTATATCAAGCATAAGAATAGAGTATAAAGTATATATTGTATAACACTCTAGTGCCAAATATTTTGTATTTACACTTCTTATATTTTATAATATCTTTTATTTTATATTTACACCTTTTGAGATTAAATTTAAACCATTTCTTTCTGAGTTTTCGTCTAAGAATACCTAGAAAATTTTTTATTTGACTGACTAATAATACATTGATCAAATATTTATATTAATACATTTAAATGCAAAGTATATCGATAAATCTTTATGCCATAAACGAGTATGACATCAGTCAGTTATACCCAATCAGTTGATTTTTGCTGTTGTATATTTTGGTCGTCGGGAGTGAGTTTTATTTACTTTTTACTGCCCAGGAGTGTTCATAATTTTGTTGACTTGTCGTGTAGATTGTAATTTTTACTGCAGGACAAGCACAAATACATAATTGAATAACAGCAGCAGCAGCAGCAGTAGCCGCTCTCCAAGTGAAACCCCAAGCTAAATTTCTTGACTGAGTTTTTTTTTTTTTTTTGTGCGTTAGAAAGGGTGCAGGATTCTAGATTGGCAGTCGCTGCAAAAGTTTTAATTCAATTTTTTCTGCGTTGTTAACTTGAGAAGCAGACGCTGCTGAAGTTGATTAATTTCGCATTTTTACGCTTGATTATAACCAGCCAGGCAGTCAGCCAGCCATCCAGTCAGTCAGTCAGCCTTCCCCAGTTTTGCGTGGAATCAACTTTTGCTCCATTTCTTTCATTCTTGGTGCTGCCAAGTTTTTGTGCTTGAACTTTTCCAGCACGCGAATCTTTTTTCGTGACTAAAATATGGCGTTGAATCCTTTGGGAAATTTCGAATATCACACTTTGTTCGTCATGCCTCCCATGTGTGTGTGTGTGGGTGTGTGTGTGTGTTTGCACACAAGCAATTCGTGCTGCCAGAGTTCATTACACATTCGCCCACACACACACACACACACACATACACACTCCTATATACGATGCGGCTTACATACATAAAATGAAACGAAATGAAATGTCGAAATGAGCAAAAGTAATGAGAAAAGGCCCAAGAAATGATTAACCCATCTCAGTTAGCAGCAGAGCAGCCACTGCACAACCCGGTAGCAAGTGCTACCTCCCCTCCCCCCATTTTCCTGTCCACATTTATGCGGTTTCCCTACCCACAATATCATAATTATTACGAGAGCATCAATTTTTAGTGGTTGAGCTTGTGATTTTGCTCGTCCTTCGGCTCGACTTGGAGCTGGGCGTATGGGGCGGCACGCCGCAATTAATAATTTCCAGGGCAGAGGGGGCCTTGATTGAAGTGTGTCGATAAAATTGCACGTGTGATTTCCAATTAAAACAAATTATTTGCTCATCGTCTCATTGAGCTGGAGATATTTGCGCTTTTCTAGTGAGTCATTTATAATATCAATCAAAATAATTATTAGTAGAGACTTAGATACTCTCTTTTCAAGTATTATTAATTAATTTTGATTTAATATATATGTTTAAGCGTCAGCATATATACATAGTATATATCTGTTTCTCTATAGTCGTAGCTATTCTCATCTAACTAAACATTTTCTAAGCCTCTTGTATGCCATTTTAGACTACTATAATATACTACTATTATATAACTACTATTTTGATATACCAATATACAATAATTATTTTAGTATTATAGCGAGTACTTTATTCGAAAGAATAATAATATTTGATGGAAATACTAAAATACAAAAAATTTAACATTAGTCATTTAGCACAACTTTGCATCTCTCTCTCTCTCTCTCTCGCTCTCTCTCTTTCTTTTATAGTTTAGCATATAAAAAAGTTGAATTTTGTTTATGATATTCAAGAAATTAAATTAGTCATTAAAATATTAATATAACGAAAACATAATTAAAATAACGCTTCTGGTTTTAACAAAATTTTGTTTTGTTTTTGTAATTAACAGACGATCAGAGAGATGGACACATGGATAAACAGATGTATTTGAGCAGAACAACTCTCTGCGTCATCATACTAGCCATTTCATTTAATAATTAATTAATTAAATGAATTATAATATTAATCAATTTGGATAATCATTATAATTGTCAATCTGAATAAGAAAAAATAATTGGTATATGGCAATTTCACATATATATATCATATATCTTCTTATTTATTCTAAATATATTTTTAATACATAAATTTACATTACTAATGATTCTGTTTTTCATTCTATTTATCATACATTCAGGATCCCCAAAAATTATTGTTAATCAATTTATTATTTAATTTACCAGCAGTGCATAAACTGTTTAATTTCCTATATTAAACTCGAGTATTTTATTATCGATCTATTTTAAATATAATTTTCATTGTGTTTGACCAAATAAACAAATAATAATAATGTTTAATTATACAGATTTTGTGACTTCACACTTTTATGGAAATTCAGCTTATCAGCTGCCATGCATGATTCATAAGTCAATAAACAAAAAGATTTATCATTAAAATAAAAATAATAGGCAAAAGAATATTCGAAAAGATTAAAAAGAAATGCACAAATAAAACATGATTTTATAAGTATTACATGATTTCCAATAAACTCTTCAATTTTTTATTGCTTCTCTGTCTGTTTTCTATTCTATCTCAAAGTCAATCTGAAGCAAAACAAAGAAAGCAACTTAAGCATTTCATTTTGCTATGCTAAAAGGTTCTAATTCTTAGCATTCTGGAGAAAGTTGGCGAACCGTAACAGAATCGCCAAATTGTTTTCTATCTTCTCTCTGATGCATAAGAAAGCAGATAATTAATTTGCCATGCCAGAGTCGACGAAGAAACGCAGAAGATGATGCGAAGATGAAGCGTAGAAGATGCTGACAATAAATCAAATTGTATCTATTGTTGTGTAGAGGCTACATGGGCAAAGGTATGTAAATGCGAACTTACCCATATGAATAACTACTTTATTCGAATTTGTCTCTTTAATTATACAGCATATCAAATGCTGTGATCCCAAATTTGCATATTATAGACAAAAACAACAACAACAACAACAAGTGTGTTCTATGTAATTACGAGGCAAGAAATGAAGAATCGTCGACAATTAACTGTTTTGGTCGATGAGTCAGAGCCAAGTTCGATCTTGGCCTGTTGGGCGTCTGTCAACAACTGACAGACTTGGGACCAAGGCCAACTCAATGCTCAGTTAGGTATTAGAGATCAGTTGAGATACATATGTAGCAATTTCGGTTTATTTTTGAGATACTTGAGCATGTACAATGGGTTGGGCACTTCAGGCAAAGCGTGTGTACATACATAATACGTGTTTTTGTATAATTATAGATAGATAGATATGTAGATATGTAGATGTGTATATTGTGGTAATTAGCAATTATAATTATGGTGAATAATTTAATTTAACTAAGCATACAAAGCGCGCGCGTGCAAATCACAAATAATGAAAAAATATAAGCAATAAAGCTACCGACTACCATTTACTTTGACTTGATCGACTCCCGTCTCGAAACGCTGCGTTCGTGGTATGGGCTCGGCTTTGCTCTTGATCAAATACTTGGCGAATTCGGCGGGCGAGCGGAAAGACTTGATGGGAAATTTGCCAAAGCGTCCGTTCGTCTTGGACAGCACATAGTATATGGGATAGGGACCGGGCGACATCTGAACGGGCAGCGGCTCCACCGTGACCGTGGTTGGGCTAGACTCGAACGGGTAGTGCAGCTGCTTCTGCTGCTTCCTTTTCAGCTTCTGCTTGGGAGAGGCTTTTAGTTCGGGCGTGTACGAGAATTTCAAAGCGGGCTGCATTGCTTCACCACTGGATTCACCGATCCTCGGCCTTGGCCGCATACGTTTCGAGTCCAGGTAGTTACGTTGGCGCGAACGCTGCTCGCCTCTTTGCAGTGTTTTGATCTGGAAGAGCTCCGAGTTCATGTGGCTGCCGGGTGTGCGATCCGGCTTCAAGGGCAGCTCCACGGGTTTGACCCGGATGACCTTTTGTGTCTCGTTCGCTATCTCAATTATATCCTCCTTGATGACATCCTTCTCTGGCAGCTCAGCCAAGCTGATGCACAGCATCGCACCCAGACACGCGAGCAGCAACTGAAACGAGTTGAAAGCAAAAAAAAGGGGAATAAAATCAATTCAAATCTAGAGACTCACCACAGTCTAACGCAGAGCCCATTCAAACAAATTACCAAATTCTGTCGAGTGCCAAACATTGTGTAAGCCACAGCAGAGAATCGAATCTGAATACTACGTCAACTTGACTTGTTTCTGGTTATGCTTCCAGCCGCGATCTGGCTCCCACTGCGAGTTTGCGACTTTAGTTAAATGCTGCCGTTTGACGACTGAGCTCTGATCGCAGCTGCCACCAACGCTGTAAGCTTCGCAGCAGCCGTCGATCTTGCCCTTAGCCTCTTGCCGCACCGTCGGTCGGCTATCCCGCCTGCTATAGATATTCTCATAATGAAGTGGCCTTTTGTTGTTCGCGCTATGTGGCAGCCAGAACAAATTATGAGCCAAATTTGTGTAGAGGTGAAGAATGTTAGTTTTTTTTTATATTCTTATTTTATTTCATTCACTTGGCGGAATACGCGTCGATTCGCAAGTCTGTGCGATTGCTCATTAAATTTGAGACGCCAAAAAATTATATGTAGTTCGTAATTAAGCATGAACAATTGAGTATTTGATTATAAACTATTTCTTACCTTATTTCCTCTTCTGTTGAGATATATAAATAATATACAATATACTATGTATATATCATAAACAATATAATTGTATGGCTAGATGAAACTTTTTAGACTTATATTTCTATTGAAACCTTTCCTTTCCTTATTTCCTCTTCAGTGCAGATCAATATATTTATATTTAAATAATATACAATATATATATAACTAAGAATTTAAAGATTGAAATTGGCTTTTCTAATTAAATGATAACTATTTTTTGATTAACAAAATAAAAATTTAAATAAATTAATTTATGTATATATAATATAATATAAAAATATTTTAATAAATTTATGGTTGTAAATAAAAGTCAGAGGTATGCAAAAATAGTTAGGAAAGTATGAAAAATAAATATAGATTAATAAAGTATAAATACAAAAACAAAAAAACAAAAAAAAAAAAAAAAAAAACAAAAAAACAAAAAATTAAAAATTAATTTAGGAATGCTAAAAATTATAATAAATACAAATTACTTGAACTGCTAGAAATAATAATGAAATAGTACAAATTTTGCTTGAATATTACTATATATATTTATACATTTCTTATGCTTGGAGAAGAGTATTTGCGCTTCAAGCTCTTAGAATTATTATTAAAATATTTAAAATTTTTTATATTGTCTTTGTTGTAGTTTTGTTGTATTGTTTGCCATCCCAAAGGCAATGATCGCTCGCACAGTGGGTCACACAGTGGGCAACACAAAAGTAAGCCAGCCAGAAGTCATCTCCAACTGTAAACAACAACAACGGCAACCACAGCAGCAACAATAATTGTTGGAGCAGAACTAACAGTTGGCAGCTAAATAACTTGATCATTTGATGGAATAAATTGTGATTACCTCATTGATTAATTTGTTTGGTTTGGCGGCGACCTCAGTCGTAGACTTTATCTCCGTCATGCGCTTTACCTCTCTGCCCTCTCGCTCTTCCATCTTTGATTTTTATAAATATCTATATTTTTTTTTTATCAATGATACTTAGACACTTTGGCGATTATTTGATTTGAGGCACCATTAGGTATGCATTACTAATTATTGTAATGGAATTATTTATGATTATTGGCAAAGCCAACGGCGATTTGACATGCACATTGTTGATCAACAGCTCGTGTATTTAGCAAAAATGTATAAAAAGAAAATAATAATAATAAAAAAAAAAAAAAATAGTATTATCACAGCAATCAATACTAACGAAATTCACCTTTTAGCTAATTCAATTGTCTTTTTATATTTGTTTATTAAAAATGTATGCAACCGAGGAAATAACTATTAAACAGCCTTAATTTAATATGCGCTTTTATTGTCAGGTATTATCTCAAGCTAAGCTAAGCTTAGATCTAACTTCTTTAATAACCGTTTAGACGTGCATAATCATTTTTACTTATTATAGTCATTAACTTGTCAGGGAAGACATAATATAAGTCTACAAATTTATTAAGCAAATAATTGCGTTTCGAACATAAAAAGTTAGACTAAACAATTTCATAAATATAACAATGACTAGATTAAATCTGTATCACTTTTATTCTTATAAAACATAGTTGCTATATATCCTATTTTATACGAATTTTTTGTTGTTTTGTATTTGATTTCAGCAAAATTCAATTTCTTTTAAACACAATCACGAACCTATCAACCTTTTGGTTGAACACAAGAACTGATGTGCTCTTCATCTAGACCAATAATCCATTTACCGTAACTAATGATAGTTTGTAGAACGTTCTATTGAAGCATCTATCAAATTGCTTTGACGACTTTTAGAAATTGTGTCATGATAAGCAAAAAAAAAAAAAAAAAAAAAAATAAAAATAAAATAAATAAAAAAAAAAAAATAAATAAAAAAATTAAAAACGGGTTTCAGAATCAACTTAAAAATATACTTTCTGCGTAGCGTAAAAAACTATATTTTGCTGAAGAGTGTTACCTAAAAAGTATACAAAAAATTTATGTTATTAACGATCAATTTAAATACAAACATATATTTTTTTACTCACTGTGTTTTTTAATTATTTTGTTTGCTTAAAGCAATAAAGTTAAGAACGATTTAAAAATCTTGTTATTTTTAATGTAGCATTAATTAGCATTTAATCAATATACTTCATGTTATATAGATTAATTGATTTAAAATGAGCTTAGCTTATCTCGATGATACTTGCTGTCGATTGAATAACTTCATTAATCACATTCTAACTACTTAAATTGATGGAACAAGTCTTTGGATTATAAACCAAAATCTTAAATACGTGTATAATAAAAAAAAATAAAAAAAAAAAAAATATAAAAATAAAAAAAAATAATAATACAAAAACTTGTATGTATATTATCTGAATGTATGTATATATACTTGAACTTAAAAATCTATTAGTTATACAACACGAAATATTGAATGCATATTTTCATTCAAGTGGTTTTTTGTCTGTTGAAAAAAATTGACTTTGTCCTTGAGTCGTTGGGCGTCAACAATTTATTGCACATGAAGGATATGGACTGTTGAAAAAAAAAGTACTAGAATCACTTGGAAAATTGTGAAAAAAGCTGCCAGACAGTCATAAAATGTCAAGACAATAAGGATACTCAATACAGGGGCAGCAGGAACAGCAGCAGTAGCAGGAGTAGCAGAGACAGTGACGGTGGCAGCAGGAGTAGCACTTCCATTTTACCATCTGCCATTTGCATTGCCATCTACATCTACATCATCGATGGCTTGAGCCATTGTCGCGCCATCGATTGTTATTCAAAGCAGCCATAATCTGTGCCAAGGAGCTGCCTGTCTAAGATGTTTGGCTGGATTGAAGGGGCTGGGTTTTGGCTTTGGCTTTAGTTTGGCAAGTGTTTGGGGAATTGCGAAACGACTCAACAGGTTTTAGCTTTTAAGCCCTTTTGTTGAACAACGCCCAGCTCTCTAGCCAATGTCGAATTCTGTAATCGCTAATGGATTATTTAAAGTGCAGCCACAGTTGCGACTTTAAAGTGCGCCACATACTCTCAGCGGCTGGCAGCCACCTCAGCCGGCGGCCACTGTAATTAGATTGTGTATAAAGAAAGGGTTAGGCTACCCTCGCCTGCACTGATGTGGGTCCGTGGTGGGTGTCCCTTACCCCAAGCATAGCCAAAGGTCAACACCACTAAATGCTGCCATTGCTGACCACAAAATAAGTCTTTTGGTCCTTTCCTGCGGCTAATGTACGCCAAATCCGGCGCATTTGTTTTACGTGTGTGTGTGTAAAATGTAACTGTTCTTTTTTTATTTTTATTGTGAGCCAGGCCATAAATTACATATTAGCTATAAGGATCTCTATAATTTACGAGCGGGTTAAACATGACACTGGGTCCAATAATTACGCCCACACGAAAACCCTACATCTAATGTTAGATAAAGCTGCCGACATGAAGCTGATTCAGGTTTTTTTTTTTTCACATATTCTATACAAATTACAATGTTACAATATTATAAAGGACGTTCTCTTAAAGTACAAAGGAAATGGCTAGTCTCTGTATGCTCTAAGTATACTCTTTTTGGTCTTCAAATAACATGGTATAAAGGAAAGGTAATATTGATTTTAAAGAAGACCGATCCATCCATTTTCCTTGATATCGATTAATATTAATCTATAAAAACATTGAATATATGTATATTTTATATCTTATATATTCTTAATACATCAATTGCACAATCTATATAAAAATATACATACAAAATAATAATCAGATTATCCCATCATATGAACCATTTCGAAGTTCATCAAGACCTTGAGGGTATTTCCTAGTCTTTCACTCTCAACTGTAGAGACTGCCAACTATTGGAGGTAATGCCCCTTGCTGTGGGGTGGAAAGTTCAAGTGCTCAAGTGGCATTGGCTTATTGTTGCTCATCACATGTCGTTGGGGTTTCTCTGACTTTTATTATATGACAATTACCACAATCTCAGACATATGCGAATCGCATTTCAGGCAACAGTCTAATCGTAAAAAAAGAATGAAACAGCACTTTAGGTAGCAAATAACCGTTATGTGCGAGCCTGAACTCTCAACACTTATATAAGGTTCACAATATTGCTTATCATGTAAAGAACATGTAAAAGAGAGTTAGTGAATGTCAAGAAATGAAAGTAAGTTCTCATACACATATTGTATATGCTGCAATACATAATTTGAAAAGATAGAAGAGCAGTGTTAACAATGCACTTATCTCCCAGATATTTTCTATTATAATAGTTTTCATATAACTACAGATTTAAAGAAGCAAGAATTATTAACATTATTATTATTAGTGGACATAATGTTATGGAAAAATGGTGGGACGATTCATGATAAACATATATAAAGTGACAAAATATATATAAAGTGAGTTCATTACAAAGATCTTTTATGTGTATTCCACATTTGTAGCTATAGTTTTTACCGGTTTGCTATAGTAAATTTATATCAAATTTCAACAGTGAAATTCTAACATTAAAAGTTCTTTTTACCCATATCTTAATCTTATTTTGAAATTTAACTTTCTAACTGAACTACCTCGAAAGTGTTGAAAGCATAAATAAATATATTTTTTAAATAATAATAAATAATTTTGGTGTCTTAAGTGTGTTTATGTATTTGAGTTAAATAAAACATAAAACATATAAA